TGATTGAGAGGTGGAAGCAGTACTATGACTAACAGCTCAACGGTGATGCAGCAGAAAACGAAGGTGGCACGACAACAGACCTTGGAGCGCACGGAGAAGACGACAGGCTACCGGCCCCTGATCTTCAAGAAGTTAAGGAGGAGATCGGTCGGCTGAAGAACAACAAAGCAACTGGTCTATATCAACTACCAAGTGAGCTATTAAAATACGGTGCTGAGCGCCGCCTACAAGCTACTCTCACAAATTTTATGCTACCACCTGTCAACATTTGCAAGAGAGCTCGTGGGTCAATACCAGGTGGAATTCATGGGTGCCCGTGCTACCACGGATTAAATTTTCGCGATTCGGCAGATTCTGCAGAAATGCCGCGATTACAACGTGCCCACACATCATTTGTTTATCGATTTCAAATCCTCATACGACACAATCGATCGAGATGAGCTATGGTAGATTATGCACGGGTACGGATTTCCGGATAAACTGACGCGATTGGTCAAGGCGACGATGGATCGAGTGATGTGCGTTGTTCGAGTATCGGGGACACTCTCGAGTCCCTTTGAATCTTGAAGGGGGTTACGGCAAGGGAATGGACTTTCGTGTCTGCTATTCAACATCGCGTTAGAAGGTGTGATCAGAAGTGCTGGGATAGACACGAGTGGCACGATCTTCAGGAAGTCTATCCAGCTTCTTGGCATCGCCGATGATATTGACATCATGGCAGAGAACTTTGAGACGATGGCGGAAACGTACACCAGACTGAAGCCATAGGGAAGACAATGTTAGTCTCCCACCTCGAGTTCAGATTGACGGTGACGAAATCGAGGTGGCCAACAGAGAAGTTCAAAGACGCATTATGGCAGGGAATCGTGTCTACTTTGGACTCTGGAGGACGCTCCGGTCGCATAAAATTCGCCGCCGCATTAGACCGGTGGTCCTCTACGGCCACGAGACCTGGACTATGCACGTGGAGGACCAGGGACGGAAGGTGTTGCGTACCATCTACGGTGGAGTGCAGATGGATGACGGAACATGGAGGAGGCGAATGAACCACGAATTGCACCAGCTGCTTGGAGAACCATCCATCATCCAAAGTGCAAAAATTGGGCCACTACGGTGGGCTGGGTTCGTCGTAAGAATACCACGGGACGATAAGGTGAAAATGGTTCTAGAAAGCGACCCAACAGGAACAAGAAGAAGAGGCGCAGTGGGCCGACCAAGTAGAAGGCGACCTGCGGACCCTTCGCAGACCACGAGGCTGGTGAAGTGTGGCCAAGGATCGAGTAGAGTGGAGACGACTTCTTCGGACAGTAGAGGACAACAAGGCCTTAGTATGATTGGTAAGGTAAGTACGGGAAGTTAAGAAAACTTCAAAGAATTCAGAGAACTTTATGGAACATCAAATAATTTCCAAATACCTCACGAACGTTAGGTCTAGAGACCTTCGGAAAAACTCTGAGACCTTAAGGGCAATGTTAAAACCTTCAGGCAAGTCCAGACTTTTGGGAAATTCAAAGATGAAGTTCCAGAGATTTTAGGAAAGTTCAGAGATTTCCAAGGAAGTTTAAAAAATGTAGGACCATTTCATTTATTTTTGTGTAGTTCCAATAACTTTATAAGAATCAGGAAAGATCACACATCATCAGGGCAGTTCAATTAAATTCAAGAGAATTACAGGAATTTTACAAAAGTTTAAAAAAACTCAAGATGTTCCGAGAAATTATGAAAAAACCAAGAATTTCATGAATGTTCCAAAACAATAGGAAAATGGCGTAGTCTTCATGCCGGACCATAAATATCAAGAAAATGCTTGGAAAAACTAGGGAAGGAAACGGATTCGAAACTCAAATGCCATTAGCCTAATACATCCATAGATCATAGGTCCACCGTTGTATAATTTGCAATGCACCCGTATACTGAATGGAAATTGTGGTTTCGAATCCCACTCAGTAAACGAAAACGACTGTTTAAGGCAGCCGAGTCCCTCATATCACAATATATGATCAAGTTGATGCTATAACCAGTGGCGTTTCCTTAACCTCAATCTACCTGTGCACCAACTCTCAAAACATAAACAATAAATCAAAATATTGCTTGCAATGGATAGATATCGAGTAAACGTGCATTTTTTAACTGATTCAAGTATGAATATGGCATTAAATTTGGTTTTGAAAGTTGGTGCACATGTTAAAAGTGAGGTTACGGGACGCCACTAACCATTCAAACCCGACGGCGGTGTGACCAACGATCTGTCAATCCCAAGAACTACTAGAAAAAAAGCACTTAAGCCTTAATTAAATTCTTCAATTACGCGACGTTAATTGTTTCGATTTGGTCTTTACACAAGATTGGAACAGAACCCATAAATCTTCAACATTGTTCAGGCTATCATGTCCCTTACATCACAATAAGCTACGACTGCCGCGACAATGTTCAGCCACTTTCCAAACACAACGAAATTAGTTTCATTTGATCTGGATACGGTAAAACCAAACCATTATTCTAACTTAAACCGAACAATAGATCACGCTCGATCGAGGGCATCCCGCTGAGCAAAACGGGGTTGTTTTAACAGGAACAACCTCATCGAATACAATCAACATGGCAAAACCAGTACAACCTTTCCATTCCTGCTGACCGTTCGGTAAAACTTTGACCCTAATTTCAAAGTCTGTTTCACTAAATTTTAATTTCAATTAAATAAACAAGTCTTAACATAGTGGTGAAGTTTTCCTTGTTTTGTAAAACCTTAAAACTGATGAAAGCCTGATTTTTATCGAACTGTTGGAAACTAGTAAGCCATGAGGATGACTTCAACAAAAAGGTTCATTATCCATTTCGGATTTAATAGAAAACCAGTAACCGTTTTTCAAGAACCTTTTCAAAGAAGAGTTCCTACGGTCATTTGTGCTAAGAAGATTCAGTCCCAGCATCAGGTGAGCGAACTGCCAGTGTGATTCCGAACCAGCCGCCTGAAACCGTGGTCCTTCTTCCCGTATTCAGGTTAGCGAACAGTCAGAGATCACCAAGCCAGCCGCCTGAAACACGAACAGTTCAGCTTTTGTATGTTCGGTAAAAATGATTGAAGTCGGTAATAATATCTATGTACGTGTATATCAACTTGTGGAGAGAACGATACATTGAAAAGTGAAGGGACCCCAAATCTACATCGAATTATAGAAAATATCGAGTTATGGAGCTCTCACCAATAAATTTGAAATAATTTAAGAAAAACCATCGATATAAATTTATTTTGTAAATCATTACTGAGAGATTTTCACTCGCAGGATTTTAACTAGCAATTGGTGTTCAGTTGGGTTGGGTCGAGATTGAGACCGAAACAAATAATAACAAATATTAAGGTGAAAGGGGGAATAAAAAAGAAGTGTTTTCCCTCAAAACCAAAATTACGTTCATGAATATGTGTTCATAGTATTCTACTTGCCTACCGGAACACAGTGAAGACATTTTCATTAACAGAATTTCGGTTTTGAACGGAAAATCTCGCGTCACTTTTCAAATAGACCAATCTACCATTAAACGATTCTCTTAATCGACTCTCTCGCTAATAACTCGACTCCAAAAACATGTTCAGCTATTCTTATCGTCCAATTCGCTAAATAATACTTTTAACAGACTATGTAGAAAAATTAGCCCGAAATATGGATGCAGCCAAGTTAATAACGAAAAAGAGAATCGATAAATGTAGGTAGGTCTATTTGAAAAATGACGCGAGAAATCTGCATTTGAATTCCCAAAAATTATTGACGTTCCCTTTTCCCTTAAGGCCTAATTTTTGTCGAGATAATATCAAAAACCGAGATTATCCTGTAAAACATTTCACGGTTTAAGCTTTACTTACGGAGACGCATTTAAAGACTCGCCCGCATTCACATTAATTAGTCAAAATTTACGTTCCATTGCGTTCCTCTCAGTTGAGAGAGATCGATGAAGTAAATTTGAATAAAAACGACATAACGTGATGTTCTCTAATTTGTACCGTCGTCTTCGTCGTCGTCCGTGGACCTCCTTCTTCACATGCTACGGTGGACGCATGGACACTGTTCAACATCGATTAGCATACGAACGCGGTCGTTCGAGATACATCGACATAGCCGCGTGATATCTTCCCCGCAGTTGGAGGTCCACGCCGTCGTGTGTGAATGTTTACTTTGTTGTACTCTGATTGCGATGAGATCGATAAATTCACACCACCAATTCTAAGATTATCCAGTTTGGATGTCACTGCGTGGGATTCATAATCAATTGAGTGTGTTCATGCAAAAGATTTTTCTTATTCAAATCAATTAAACATCAATAGACTTTTCACCTTTGTGTCAAAGGTGACAAATATGCTTCTCTAATCGCATTTTTTGAGAACATTTCTACAAAAACATTTCTTACCGCTTACCGTCTCACATTCTTCAATGCAATCGACCATCAGCTACATGAGTGCAGATTGTTTGCAAATAAAAGAGGACTTAAGCCGATGGAAAAGAGAAAATGTTCGAACACTATAGAAGAAAAGGAAACGGATCAGAGCATTCTTTGAACATTAAGCTCATTTGGCGTACATATGGACAAATTATTAACTGCAAATAACTTAAGCTTAACAGAGTTGGGATAAAATACTATACTAATATCAATATGAAGCTTTAGTACGATAATTTATTAGCTAGAGAAAGTTCTGAAGAGGATAGATTGATAGTTCTGTTACAGTACTATCAGAGTGAAAATTGAACAGAAGTTGAAATTAAACGAAGGGCCATTGATGCCTAGCTCACTTGATGGGTGAGGGGACTTGAGGTATTTCCTCAGATCCACTGGCAAAAGAGTGATTGTTTGGCTTGCTCATATACTGTCTGTGGCGGGAGATGGTTTCAAGCATTCTCAAGCGATGGTCTTCTATATAGCAACTCTGCTTTACCCAGCTATTTTTCACGTCATGACCAACGTAGTCATCTCAGAGAGAAGCAGGCTTAACGATTAAAAGGTCAACTCACCTCGCAGACGCACGCTACTTGCTCCTGGGTAAATCCAAAACTGGGCATCGATTCCCGATCGCTGCTATTCAAACCTCCATTCTGTCCCAACAAATCCAGATCATTGTCGTTGTTGTTATTATTGTTGCTGTTGTTGTTATTATTATTATTATTCAATCCTGCACTACCTCCGCCAGCCAGCGATCCCAAAACAGCCGCATTAGCTCCCTGCGGACTGAAATTTGGGGGCGTTTGTTTGCTGGCCGCCGATAACTCGTAATAATCGCTGCTCGGGTGTTGCAACATTTTAACTTTGTGCTTTCAGTGACAGCTTGGTTTCTGCGGGTCTTCTAAAATTTCTTATATTCTCTTACAATCGCAACATATTATCACGCACTCTTACAATAACTCGCGTAATCCACACCGCCGCCGGTCAGGCAGGTGCATTGCGCAAAGCGCCTCCTTCGAACCCAGATGACACGTTCTAAATTCGTTTCCACTCTAATTTGCTTCGCCAAAAGAAGTGTTTACGTGTTTTTTTCCTCCTCCTCGCCGACGATCAAGACGACGGAGCCGCAGCTCAGCACGGTCAAATATTTCACCCGTCAAATTCTTGAAACGCACGGCTTCGGTTTCGAACGACCGCGCTAAAAATAGCCGCACTTTGCATACACAGTTGCCGCCTGCTTAGGTTTCTGCAATCTTCTTCATTCAAAAAAAAAACCATACACCCAGAAACACAACACTAATGTTGATCAACACCACAACATTCTGTCACAAAATCCGACGGCGCACAGCACGCGAATGTTCGCGACACCTACCTATCCAACCTATCCTATTAATGACTGCTCTTTTGAATCTCTGCCAAAATCTTCAAACGGCAATTGATCCGGCGATCCCACTTTCTGGCATCAATTACCTACACACCACTTTGTAATCGCATTTCAGTTGCACATATTGCACGATATCCGTCCAAATGGCAAATTTCACCAATTTCACCACGCACACGCTGCCTTTCTAATCGCCTACCGAACACCACGAACGATCGCCACAGACTACTGAGATCCTTGTGCGCTACGATCTCCTAGACAGGCCCGGTTGAGCGTGCCTGTGGGTGGGTCACTCATTTGCAACTGAGTTCCCTCCGCCGATCCGTATGTGAGTGAGTGTTAGTGCAACATGTGCTATTTGTTGCGCATGGCTCGCAGCGAATAGTAGGCGTGGTCCGATGCCAGTTGGGAGGAGTTTTTACAAAACGGCGATAGCATTAACTTTATGCGGTTACCTGAAGGAATGCATGCAACAGGGAAGATAGCAGATTCTGCTCTGCTCTTTGGTGATGGCTCTCTGTGGTTGGTCTTTCTGCTTGGATCCAGTGAGCACAATAAAGATTAGGCAAGCTTTTTTTTCTCTGCTGATGCCTCATGCGAAGATGGTGGATTCCTGACCTTAACGTGAGGATGCATGTGGTACTGTGGTACTGAAGTATGTTGTGTGAAGAAAGTGATTTAATCATGTTTTGGATTAATATTGGACTCTATGTTCCTATCGTTTGTTTTGTAATTTGATCCACAGGAACGTACAACGTCGTCATCGTGAAACGCACAATTTTTGTGATCAGATTTTTCAAGGCCATTCATGATTGACACTTTCAAGCCGCAATTCACACATGCAATATTTGTAGTACAGCTTTTGATATTAGGGGGAAGCGTAACGTACAGTCATCATTCACTGGTTGGTACAATAGACAAAGGAGTTGTTCTATATTTAACCGTATAAAAAATCACTTTTCACTTAAACATTTTTGCCAAAACATCAGCCATAAACCACCGACGAACCGACATGCCACAGGAGCATTTCGTTTGTCCACAATTCGAATTGTCAAACGAGCGATTCGAACTTTCAAACGGGTGATCAGATCTGTCGAATGAGGTGAGACGCAAACCATGACAATATAAATTATACGTGGGTTCGTGTCCTTGCTCATGGTATGACGCGATCGGATGAGTAGATGTCGGTAGTGTTTAACGTATTTTAAATATGGCGTCTTGGGCACGAATTTGAAAGTATAGCTTGTATGAGCTGTAACGTCGGTTTGTCGGTGCTTATACATTTCATAAGACAATCCACATAGGTCCTATTATAAAAAAATAATGACCATTTATACATTTCATTTGACACATGATCTTCATTAACTTTTTTGCAAGGCGTGCTTCATTAACTTTTTTGCAAGTGCTTATTAGTTGACTTATACATTTTATCAATAATCAGCAATAGAAATTTTCCAAAAGTATAAAAGGATTTCTATCCGTGTATATGGGACGTATTGTAGATCTATTTTTAAATTTGCTTGTATGATAAACATACAATAAGATCGACTGTTGGTAATAAATTTGGTTGTGACTGTATTTTATGTTATGGTAATTGTATGCTTATTTATTTCCGGGTAGTTTTTCATGAAAAACAGCTCACTGGATGATCTCCAAGTATCAAAAATAAAATTTGTGGTCTATTTGGACACAATTTACTGAGCGATTAGCTACGTTTTAACTGGGTCTAGCGAAGACAAATTGCAGTCACCTTGAGACTCCTACGATGTATGTCAAATTGACAATGCGATGACAACAAATCCAATCAATGCATGGCTCTATCGTAACAATTGCAGTTGTTGAGCTGGATTTTTGTTTGTTCATTTTTTTTTATATATCCATTCCATTTCGGAGTTTTGTAGTGGAAGCGCACCGGTAAAATTAATGAAAATATTTGTTACTATTTGGAAGTGATTTGTTATAAAATAACGATCGATTAATCCTTTAAATTTGTCGAACCTCTTAACGGAATCCCTTTATGAGGAGCTTCGAGTAGGTTGGTTTATTTCCTTTAACATCAGTGGCATTGAGTACTTGGCACTGATGAAGTCTGGATAATAAAAAAAAAGATAAGCAATTATAACGAAATTTAAAGGAAATAAACCAACCCACTCAAAGCTCTTCATAACGATCGATTGTTTACTCAAATGCTTTTCATACATTTTGATCTTGCAACAGTTGAAAAAGTTGTTCGATTTTGACGATTCAAATTGATTCGAAAATCAGTACTTCTCCGTATTTCCGTAACTAAGGAAAACCCAAGGGGGGGACTATATTAATGCTTTGAATTTTTCAATTAGAGGGGGCTATATTATCCTTAGGGGGGTCTACAGCCCTAGCCCACCCGTTGCACAGTGGCGGGCCTCCAGACAAAGGTCGGACAAAACCTCATATGTTATCCGGAATGGCTAAAACTCACAGGTTAAGATGATTTTGGTATCCTGAATGTATTTCTGATATGAAACTTTTCATATATTTTGGTTTTATTATATTACGGTGGTTCTAAATTATGAAAATCAGCTCATTTTGGGTTAAGTAAAAAGTAATCAATAATAAGCTATCACGATGTGTTAGTTGAATGGAGAGTTTGATTAAAAGGGTTATTAGGGGATTCTGAAATCATTATTGATATTGAAATTAACTTTACTTGTGTATTTTTTGCTCTTAGGGTGGTCCAAAAGCTATAAAATCATATAAATTATTAAAAAAGTTCGATTACCTACGTTTTTCATTCAATGGATCGATTCAGCTACACACACATGTTAGCTGACAAAACTGATTGGTATTCTTAGGGACCGTCCATAAACCACGTGACGTTTTTAAGGTGCGAACTCAGAGCTAAGTTAATGCTGAAGTTGATGTTATATAAGGATTCATTTCGACGTTTCATTCATTTTGGATTCGTTTTGTCCGTAGAAAAATTCTAAAATTTGTTAGGGCCGTGGTCATGACCCCCTCCCCCTCTGCCCCTCCCACCTCCCCTCCCCCATAAGACCACGTGGTTTATTGACGGCCATTTACCTACCAGAATAAGGATTACACTAAATAGTCAGTATTCAGATGGTAATTTTATTTATGTTAAGATAAAATACAATCTTCAAACCATTTTGCTTCCTCCACAACCATGCGTCTCCATAGTGACTTGATAAAAAAAAATTTGCGCTTTGCGCAAAAATGCGCAAAGAGTGGCCTATATACCCAAAAACTAGACAAAATTTCGCGTCAGATCCGGGATATGGCATCGTTTTCTGATGTTTCCTGTAAAAGTACTGGCTCTCCTTAATACTAAGTATTTCTCCAAAATTGCATATGTGTGTATTGTGTGTGTATTCCCTCTAACCCCCACTGGCCGGCAATGTTATTATGGAAGAACTCTCTCTACAATGCCGCATTTATGGTCATTGTAGACAGCTTTAGTCCGGGAGTTAGACTTAAGAAGCCATGGTCATCCGCAAAAAAATTTAAAAACAGATTGAAGTAGGCCCAGGACAACATTTTATGGACTAATGATGACTGGAATAAGGTGATCTGGTCAGACGAGACGAAAGTAATGCTATTTGGGTCACCATTGATACCATTAGACCCAAATAGCATTACTTTCGACTCGTCATGGTCCATGAAATGTGGTCCTGGGCCCACTTCAATCTTTTTTTGATATATATTGCGGACAACCATGGCTTCTTAAGAGCCACTCTGCCCTTAAGACTTTTCTTATGAAGACGATTTCGTACGGATTGTGATGTCAGTTGAATGGAAAACTCGCTTTCAATCTGTTTCGCAATTTTCGGAGCTGATAGTCTCCGGTCCAGCTCCGCCTTCTTCACGATAGCTCGGTCAATTCGGCCAGTTGTCTTTGAAGGACGCCCCGATCGCTTAGCTGGTGAGATAGAACCACGCTTTTTGTACATCTGCACAATTCTAGCGACCGTATCTTTGTGAAGCTGGACAATATCGGCAATAAAACGGTAGCTTTTGCCAGTTTTGTGATGTTCAATAATCAAATTTCGAATACTGATCGAAATTTGGTCTTTTTTGGGCATTTTGAAACAAATAACTTCAAATTTTGAACACAAAACTGAAATTTTGAGCATGAAAACTTCAAGAGCACTAAATGACAGATAGACACAATGTTTACATTCGATAAAGTTGCAGAATACACACTAAAACTCTGTCAAACACACTTAAATCCTAGTATCCGTTTGGGGGTGGATAAACAATTTTTGCGTAATTTTTTACCATTTTTCATAATTTATCACATGAAATCTCAAGAAAAGATATAAACATCGTATTTTCAATGGCAATGTGATAAATAAACATAAATTGATAAATCATGAAGGAACACTCATAAATTTAAACTGATTTTCACCAGAAAAACAATAAAAAATGTTAATTGGTAAGGGGGGGGGGGATAAACTTTTTTTGCATACTGTATTTAGTTTGTTTTTTTTTTATTGTAAAAAGTATTTGGACTGGTCTCACCATGTTAATTTGATCCCCCTGGTTACGTTGTTCTGAACACAAATTTCCTTGCATTGCCATGCATGGGAGGATGTTCACGTCTAGTGCTTTTCCTAGGAACCGTTCGCGGCCATCAGTTACACCCCGTCAAGTCTGGAGCGAGGCATTTTTCAGATTAGCCGTAATCTCCGACACCGTCAAGAGACCAAAGGCCGAACACTTTTGCAAGCGGCAACGTCTGCCACCGAATTACCACCAAAACTCGCGACGAACACATTATCAGCACTTTCCCGGGCTAATTCACCAATCGGACCGGATTAAAACTCGTCCACGGGGACGAATCTCTCAATAGAACTACGCGCCGAAAGTGTGGCATCCGAACTCGAAGAACCGGGCTCCCGGGAGGCAATTAAACCGACTCCAAACAATTTAACTGAAGCTGCGACGTAGATTTTAGAGGTTTAATTCAAGGTCAACCGAAGCACTCAAGGCGGACCTTTTTTTTTGCTGCTTTCTTTTGTCACTGCATGTTTCTATTTTTCACTTGCTATATTCTACTCTTTTTTAATCTAATTTGGCTTCAAAACTGGACGTCTCAACACAGGAAAAAACACGATATATCACTAAATGATAACTTTATGAACACTTGGTACTAAATTTCAGCACACAAATTAACAAATTCAAGGCAAAAAA